GGGCCTTAGTTCTGGGGTCTACAAGTAGCCCCACAGGGGCTGGCTGATGTTTGTGGTGTGGAAGGTGGGCCTGGGTCAGACCCTGGTATAACTGCACCACCTTGAAACCAGGGTTGATCAGCTGGATCACTGGAAATTAGAAATAATCTTGTCAGAATGTTTGCAACATCTCAACATAAAAAAAGAAAAAAAAAATATGTTGGGTCAATGAGATATCTGTAACTGAAGGGAGCACGTGCTATCATTTTTATTTCTCAGTAAAACTTCCTTTAAATTAGAGAATAGTACACTTAATTTAAAAAAAAACTTGTCATGTATCGTGGCATTTATCATGCTTTTGTATCTTTTAATTTCTCCTTTCTCTGCAAAATAGTACACTACATATTTTGAGTCTATATTTTCACCAAGATTCCAAAGGCTAATCTAAAATACAGTCAAATATAATTCAGCAACATCTACCATTATCTGAATGGCAAGTAGCGTAGAGTGTGTTGTCATGGGAACAGATCACATGATCAATGGGCGCCCCAAGCCTTGGTCTAAAATCCTTGTGATGGGAGTTATACTGCCACTTGACCAGGACGCACTCATGGCCGCCACTCAGGAAGTAGGAACCTGGAGAGAAATATGGTTATCATTAACCTTTATTCGAAATGCAGATCAGATGAATTCAAGCACAAATTTTGTCCTTCGAAATCAACAGAGCAAAAAAGCATGACATTATGATTTTTTAACTGCCAGTTGCAAATAAAATGAAATTTACCCAAGTTTGGCAGCAGATATAAATCACATAATATGACGCGTTACTTTACAAAACCAAATTTACAGAAGATGAAAATATTACAAAAAAGTAATATTTTTCTGTGTGCAACTTGAACAGTCAAAGGGAGTGTTATATAAACAGACCTTCTGCAGTGAAGCAGAGTCCTCCTACAGGTAGTGAGTGCCAGTGATTGACTGTCTTCACCACATTGGAACTGCTGAGAAAGTTCCACCTGAAGTAAACATGTTAACAAAAGAATTAATGATAACATATGAAAGAAATACAGGAAAATAAGAACTATTGATAATACAAGTTATTTCTATGGAGACCAAACATGTTTTTCCCTTATAACAAATAGGACATTAAAACTTGTCATAAATGTCAAATCCTAATAGCTTTCTTTTCATCCTTCTATCAAGATTCTTAAGGAGTTGCTCAGAATCACAGCCAAGGAGCTTGGGGTCATCAAGGTCATCTCAGACTTTGCGAAACCACAGAAGCTAGCTGTCATCACAGCAACAGCCTTTTATGAAAATAAAGCACATCTTTTTCAAATGCTGGTCCCGCTGACTATACAGTACTCACCAGAGCAGTATCTTGCCATTGCTAGCACCAGTAGCTACACAGTACTCCGTGGGATGACACGCCACACAAGACAACTTCAGGTACTGGTCAACATCAACAATGTGACTGAAGAAAACATCTGTCATGAGAACTCTGGTGCAATCAGTGTAGATATACAGATTTGCCTGTGTTGAATATTATACGTATTTACTTTTATCAAAACATCAAACATTTATCAACTATATCCATTTATTTTTCAATAAAACTTTCGTACAATACAAATTGAAATGACTACCCACCGAAGACTTTTTAGCCTGGAGTATTGCTTTTTATCTTGTTTTACTTTAGAAAATTTTGAGAAATTTGAAAAATTCATATTAAACAAGCCCTAAAATATAGTTGCTCAGAATCACAGCCAAGGAGCTTGGGGTCATCAAGGTCATCTCAGACTTTGCGAAACCACAGAAGCTAGCTGTCATCACAGCAATATGTCTAAACTGATAAACACAATGTATTTATAAACAAGTTCATTTTATTCCTAGTGACAATAAACAGTTATTTCATCAAGGGGGGAAGGGGGGTACAAAGTAATGCTACTATCCAGTTTATTACTCTCTTCTATCACCTTTAATGTGGTTAAAATGCACAGAATTTGACTGCAAATGACTAGTATTTATTCGCTTTCCACCCGAAGAAACTGATGCTCCCCTTAAATGTTCATCAGAACCACCTGATGAGGTCTTCACTTGTCTCCTTTAATATCTTTGAAATAGGCAAAGCCACCTCATCTAACTTACTGTTTTGTGAGTTTCTTCTTAAAGGAATGCACAATTAGTGTCCTCCCTTGAACTGCTGCTATGTACTCCCCCTGAAGATACAGGTCATCACAAACATCATCTACTACATAGTCTGGGAACAGGAGAATTCCCCACCTTTGCCTTAAAATTCATATTTGATGATTAAAATAATTGAAAATGTGTGGAAGGTAAACCACTCCAGACATGCTGAAAACTTTTCAGAATGGCCGGACATTTGGAACAGCAGTAATGAAAAATTTGTCTGACTGAATGGATTTTTGCCAGACCGAAAATAACCCTATTCGTTTGAGACATAAACTACCAGTATGATTGGGGTAGCTTACATTGTTTGTGATTTTGAAAGGTTTGAAATGGAAGGAAAAAATGGTTTGGGTTTTATGTAATTTTATTCGTGAAGTATGTCGAATGATGACTGTAAGTTCAAAATTGCGGCTCTTAAAACTCTTGTCTGTCCTTTGGACGGACCAAATCCAATTTTTTACCAGTCCACACAAATTTTCCCTGTCATGAACAATTGGACCGACTGTTTCAGCATGTCTGCACTCTCTGTCTTTTGCCAATAATACTAGTTACAGGAACCATCTACTTCCACAAAGTGTAAATCTATAAATTTTTGCAGTCAAAATATTAGATGACACCCTTTAGTAGTTCTAAGAAACAAGTTCAACGCAATCACAACTAACAAATTTCACACAGTCACAACTTAAACAATCAGTAACAACTAACACATTCAAAACTAATACATACAATTATCACAACTAAAACATTACACTAAAACACAACACATCCAATGCAGTCACAACTACCACCGTTGTGAGAACCATGTCAAAACCCCAGGGAGTGAGGTTGTGCTGACTTACATGCACTCCCAGCGCAAGACATCTCTCCTCTTTACGCACTCTCTCCAGGACTGTACGCAGATGGAGAACTTTATCACTGGCTTGTCGAGGGAGATGAAACTGCACAAGCTCAAAACCTAAAATTTTAAAATCAAGTTATGAAAAATGTTTTCTGTTACCTTGCAGTTTGGTTATTGTTCAATATGTATCACTTGTCCACAAACTTGATGGAAGAAACAATACTGCAGTCTCATAATTGCAGTAACATCTGTTCTAAATTCAACAAATCTAGTTCAAAATTATTCATATGTCTTGAAAGCATCGAAGTAGTTAAAGTCACCTACTTTTTGAAGAAGACTTTCGTACTGCATAATAAGCAGGACTCTCAGAGCTGTCTGACACTAGAAGGACATGGATGGGAAAGTTCAGCTGATAGGTCTGAAATACAAACACATTTTCTTTAAGGTTTTGTACTGTGTGTGTGTGTGTGTGCGTGTGTGCATGTGCATCAGTGCGTAATAAATGATGTAAATCCTGGTTAAAATATGCTTAAAAAAATAAATGCATCACTGAAAATTATCTTAAATTGGAACTGAAAAGTAAAATAAATTATTGTTTTTATAATAAAAGTTGCTCAGAATCACAGCCAAGGAGCTTGGGGTCATCACGATCATCTCAGACTTTGCGAAACCACAGAAGCTAGCTTTCATCACAGCAACATACTGTAAGATCTTCACGTTTTGTAACTGATATTGTTATGTTGTACTCAATGCATTTTCACAAACAGAACAGATAAAACTAAACGTGATCATAATATTATTATAAATTCTACTACAAATCTGAAAACAAAAACATGGTATGACAGGTTTATGAAAGTGTCATAAAAATATGACCCGAAAGTACAAATTCATGCAAATTCAGACATTCAAATATTCAAAGTTCCTCACCTTGAGAGCTACTCCATCAGAATAGTCCCACTGTATTATACTCTGGTCCAGTGACGAGGACAAAATCTGCAATGGACAATTTTTTAAGCAACAACCCGAAGTTCTAACTATACGTTATAATCATAAAGAATTGTTGTGTTAGCTGTGATTGTGTTCGGTGTGTATCGTGTATGTTCGTATGTGTACGTGGAGGTCACAGGTTGAAAGACCGCGCCCCATAAAATTTGACTTCCACCTGAAAGTCGGACGGAGATGCAGGTTGAATAACTGAAATAGGTATTCCAGTGATCTTGCAGGTAAGTTTTACTATATTTAATAAAGGACCAATCCATAGTTTAAATTCATACATTTCTAAATTTATATATTTATTTTTTATGGTGTTTT